CCATAAATATGCGTATTAATAAATTTGAACACAATTAGACCTCAACAGAATGAGCCCTATCCAGGAAAAATAACGCAACGCTAGGCAACAACAACCACATCAACAACAGCATTACTTAGTCCGAACTCAGCTTATTAGTAACTGCAGAAAAACTCATTAATCCAGAATCCAGCCTACGCCCCCGAGCGCTGAGGATTCCACAGCGCTTCGCGAGGGAGAGCGGTAGGTGGTCTTATTTGGCTAGCTTGACAGCGGTCGGCGTAAAAACTTCTGATTTTGATCCGGATTCCCATTGATGGAAAGTTTCCAAGTTGATGGGGGGATAGGGTCAAATTCGAGAAAAGTATCCCCCGCCCTGACGCGTGACAGGGTGTCGACCAGATATCTACTGACATTTTTTGGAACCCGTAGCGCTTTGGTCTAGATGTCGGCTAAAGAATCTATCAATGTAAAATACTAATTCCCCGAAATAAGCCGCTATTGGCAACAATATCACAGCGCCAAAGGTGTGATCGCACCTTGGTTTGGCCCAAATATTTCTTGAAACCAAGGAAAAGTTCGTATACTCAGGGCCCATTAATTTTGAAGCAATTGAAATAAAACAACATGCACATCAAAGCACTTCCCTGTGAACCTGTTCAGACGCCCAGATACTGGTTAGAATACGTCCCACTTGGGTTAATCGATTGTAGTCCCAGTTCAAAAACTACTAAGAAGAATTAACCCAATTCCATCAAATAGGTCCCGCCCGAAAGGGAAAAAAGGATCAGTGCACGAGCACTACTTCTAAGGCGTGGAGATTAGGGCGTTCAATTTGACTTGTAAATCAATATATGTTGAAAGGTAAGACGAATACAGCCAAACCAGTACGGTTTTCAAACCATGGCAGCTGTGGTCATGTTGATAAGATCGCGCGTGGAAACTTTGGGTAATCAATCATACGCGCTACCGCAAGAAAACAAATGGGTACAAACTCATGGTTCAAATGGTATCGCGCTACCATCTGGATGACCGCATCTGTTTTTATTTTTTGAAAAACCACACGAAGAAGTGAAGAAAGAAAAGCCGTCTGATAGTGAAAGAAGGCGGATCACAGCAGACTTGGTACGATTCAAGGTTATCGCGTACGGTATGTGTGTGTGCGAATGAAGACAGACATGGAGAGTAGTCATTGTCGTGGTGGAGAGTAGGCGGAGGTACAGACGAGAGGGACTGCGCGCTAAGTGTCAGGCGAAGCGCGTCAATGATATATGGGCTTAGGGCATTGTCGCATCGGATGAGCAATCTGCTAACAGATCGTTCAAACGACCCGCTGGCAAATCATCATCCGTACGTACCATCTCCAATTTCTTTGCGGCGATATTAAAACGATACGGCTTGTCGCTTCTCGCTACTACCACAATGTCCATCATCATTCATCAGGGAACATTGTCCGCTGCCATCACGAGTTGTACGAGTCAGCTGTAGTGTTCGAAAGAACATTTCACAATTGATGTCCGCCGAAAGAACGTAACAAGCAAAGAAAAAGGGAGTAAAAGTGGGCTAAAAAGTCAGGCAGAGTTGTTCTTGTGGAGCTACAAAAAACGGAAAATGTTATCTAGAGGACATATTTATAGCAGTCAGATCCTGCACTGACTGAGCCAATAGACACTCCCTTGCTACACCGGTAACCTTTCACTCTGCCCTCCACTTCCTCCCAAACTAGTCAAAGGTCATGGAAAGCTAGTCGGCAGTAGCAGTGCAAGAGGTGGTGCAGGTTGGCTGAATGACACCTGTTACGCAATTTGCACAAGTGCAGAGCTCCAATCCTGCTCGCCTAACAAACCTTATTCAATCCGAGGAAGGCTGATTCGTTGGCATGCTCGCGGGGGTCAACACTACTGACTGTACACGGGTGGGCTCGCCTGCTACTTGCAAGAGGACTAGCATTCAAAGGCTACCGGCGATGCTAATGGAGGTAGAATACACGTTGGGCCATCCCCAAAAGGGCGTGACCCAGAGTGGGAGTCCGCTAGCAGCGTAGCCAGCGACTCTGTTCCGGGTAAATCAGCATAGGTGCTAATCCTGCACCAACGAAATTGTCAGGTGAGGATCTTAAACTATTCTTCCAACCAGAACGTCCTTAGAGATTCAATTCACAAGCGCATGAGCACAGTGTCGTTACTTTGAATTAGTTCTTATCAATATTAAAGTACTACATAGTATTACTTAGCTTAAGCATGATTTTTCCCTACTGCCGATCAGTTGAGACGGCGATTCTACATACAGGGGCATGCAAACATGCAAATTGTCAAAGTTCTGTCAGGGGTCCTGTCAAGGAACTTGAAATTTCCAAAGCCAACAAAAAAAGCCAAATTAGTAACTCTGTAAATGAGTAAATGTATACTAGGCAAAAGACGACTCGTTGGCATTTACTGGAGAAGATCTTATCATCAGGCAAAGTTAATCAACAAAAAGTACTTGACGTAGAAATATTCATAATCATCATGAATGAATAAATATTTATACCTGACTCGGGTTTTTCAATAATTTTCACCGCTGACGACTGAAAATGACCACTGCGTGAATTGCCCTTGCGCCCGAACACAACACCTTTCCAACGGCCTTCAGGAGAGTGTCGTCGATCGATGATCTGAATGAAATCGAATTCAGCTGATTGAAATTCGAATCTAATTTCAAAATTAACAGGAAGGCCTTTCTAACTCTTCGGGTGGCGCTCAGAAACTGGGAGCTCAAGTACCTACACATCTAGTTTATCACTCGCACATAATCCCTTGGACATAGTAAAAGAAGTAAAGAAACCCCTCAAAAAAGTAGAGTACGCCAAAACCTACCCATACACTCAAAAACTTGCCTTGGATTTTTTTTCTTGATCTTTATCTGAGAAATGCCCCGATTGTGGAGCAGGTCAGACTAATTTAACTGATTAACTGTACACTACTTATGCACAAATAACTCTTCATTTCTACTGCAGAACACTCCTCTTTGTAAAACTTCGGCAGAGTTGTAAACTTCGATGCCTCCCTGTTATGGCAGTTTTGACTGGATTGTCATCGTCAGTAGTTTAAACACTGTTGACTCCAGGTTCAGTAATTGCCCCATTCATACCGTCAAATGCCCACAGGTAGCGCTATTGTCAAGAAGACCTGTTCGGTATGACTCTGGCAACTTTCTTCCTATAGCATAACTACTAATGGGTTCTGGTACAAG